ATAAGTAGCCTTCCATGGAGGCTGCCATGTTGAACCACAATGTTTCTACAGTAGCCCAGAACAGACAAACACTAGCTCTGGATAGGGGCTTTCATGGTCTCTGCGAGTTTCATAGCCGCTGAAATTTCTCCTACAAGCTTGTAACGGGCGGCATTCTGCAACTTCACCGTTAGATGCCACTAAAACCTTCACACTGGTCCTTAAATCAATGAAAAGTAGATGAACTGATAACATCGATAATGAGGGACATGTGATGTAAACAGAAAACGTACTTAAGGTGTAGTACGGGACTGTGTCACTAGCCGATGCCTCTCTCTGTTTAACAACATGGTGTTACAGGTGTGTATTCTTCTTCTGAAAATCCCACCAAGTTGTTATCTAGCAGCTGTCCGGGCTAATTAGCGATCCAGAGGCTCATGCTAATGCCAAACTACTACTTCAACAGAACAAGCTAAATCACTGCACGCCATGCTAATGCAAACAAGTCATAAACTTGGAGTACACGGTAGCTCACCTAGGGCCTGTCCTCACGAATACGCGGCCTCACCCAATACCATGTCGTTTCGAAAAAAATCTCCATAAACACGGCGTCGTCTCCAGAAATATCTGCGTCCACACGGATTCACTGACAACGACCCAAAACGCTGTAGTACATATGCCAGGCCTGTATGTGGCGCTGTGACGCCACCACACCGATACACTAAAACAGGAAGAGAAGCCATGGAGCATGCGCTGTTTACAAAGAAGTAGCAGTAGTCCGCCATTGTTTTTGTTGTTATGACGCGTCTAGCGGCGGCTGCTGAGGTTAAAGGCTAGAGAGGCGGGGCTAATACGTCATCGTTTCAGAAAAAATCTGTTTCGCTGTCCTGATGACTCCGGGCAATCCGGCGTTTTCGGATTTTCCCACTCTGGTACCCGTTTCACACCCCGAAAACGCCGTATCAGTCTGGACGCGAGGCCTTTACGATAAAGCATTTATCCGGAATCGTGGAAAACATATTCGTGAGGACAGGCCCCTAATAGAGTGTGCATCCCATGTAGACTTAGTCCTTACCCACGTTCCATTACAACCTGAGGCAACCTATCTATAAAAAAGTCATATATTTTCTGAGCAACCTTCTTTGGCAGTAAATCCAGTTCAATTACATATCTACCAATCCATGAGGGTTTCTTATATAGTATCTTTCTTTTACTGTCTGCACTGCAGGTGAGACTTCTTAAAGTATATCCAGTCACATGGAAAGCACAGGCAAAAACTTTCACATGCATTATTTCTTCTGTTCTTATGATGATAAAATGTGCAATTCAGTGTTTTGGCAAAACATCCTGTCCAAGGAGAACCTGGCCTTGTTACAAAAACAATGCCTGTGCTTGACTAGACACATTTGTAAATGTGAAACATCCACAATCTACCATTTCAACCGCAATTTTTGTCTTGTAGAAAGTAATTTCTCTCTCTGTTTGCCCATCTCTCTGGCTGTCACTACTGCTTACTGCTCCCCTATCCATTGCCACACTTTTGCAGAGAACTCAGTCTCACCTCTCCGTCTCTGTACTGGGGCTGCACAAGTGTCTCTTTCTTCCTGCAACTTACAAAGAGCCACATTCATAGAGCCGAGAGACAGAGCGAGAGAGTAAGCTTCACACTTGCACTGTTTCCTAAGTGATAAATGGTCAACAAAGCAACAGAGAATGTACGCTACATGAGTAAAAGCCATGGGGAGTCAATGGTAAATGTTAGAATGTGTGTAATGTATGTCTGCTTGTGTGTGTGCAGGATTGTGAACTGTCACCCTCCATTACAAATACAAAACACTGGGGCTCCAACTACTCTGACACTCGACTGCGACTACATAGCCATAGCCATAGCTGTGAATGGAGAGGGGGCCTGAAGCGTGGGGTGGGTTCCCTCTTTCTAACTTTTTGTTGTGGCTCTGGCTCTCCTGTGCTAAGTGGTAACTAACAACACATGCTTAAAAACAATTAGCATAGGCCTACAGGCCCCTGAATTAGCAGCAGAAGAGGATGGAGCTTGCCGACTCCTTAACTGTGAGTGGGAATGTGCGTGGAGTGGTAAACGGGGCTGACGTCTCCCATCAGCCTGGCTGTGACCCTGGATGACTCTGCCAGCCAGCCAGCACCACCACAGCTCTGGAAGGGTGGCAGCAGGGGAGATTAACGCAGAGGAGAAAGAAACAGCCATCACAGACCAAAAATGATCCCGTAGGGGTCTTTAAAGATACTTTTCTTACATCTGCCCTTCTCCTGCCCTCGGTGAGGCCCTCTATGCCCCTCACAAAGCTCCATTGTAGGTGGAGCAGTGATAGCAGACTACATACCACAGCTTCACTGTACATTCTTACAGAGATACAGCAGAGAAGAAGGCAAGGAGTGGACTATGATTCATGGGGAGAAAGAATTACCGGAATTATTTCCCTCCTGTTCCTGATAGTGAGATATCTGACTGCATGTTTCCTCGCTGATAAAACTGAAATCCATAACAACCTTAGTGTTTGCAAAGAGCCCACACTGGCTGATGGCCTGGACAAACATAAGAGACAACTGTCACAAGAGATTATCTGCTCTGGACAGAGGCCATAATGCTGCTCTCCTCTTCACTCTCTCTCTCACTCCAAGGGATATTTATTCATATGCAGAATATTCTATTACAGCACTGTATTCTTTTGAAATGATCCCTAATTAAACATGTCAGGGGTTGTCACGGTCCCATGAAATGGCACAATGATTAACAAGGGAATTGACTAATCATAGTCTGTACAAGAAGGCTAATACTGCAATTTTTCCTATAAAGCTGTACCTACAGCAGCTTACGACCTACAGGTTACTGCAATGCATCTGTTAACTGATTACAAAAGCTACAACATGTTGCATCAATGCCATCATTGCATCTGACACTGACAAACTAGGCTAACTATTATTTTCATTATCGATTAATTTCTCGTTTCTTTTTTTCTCGATAATCAATTAGTTTATTGCTCTATAAAATATCAGAAAATGGTGAAACATCCATAACCCAACGATTATTGTCATAAAGGAGTAAAGAAAGAAAATAGTTGCAGATTAATTTAATAGTTGACAACTAATTGATTAATCTACAATTGTTTTAGCTCTAACTGCATCAATACATTGTAAAATACACTGATACCATTCCAGTTCCAGTGCTGATTTTGGACATGAATTGCCAACTGTAGGTGGTGGACCAAGTGGCATTTGGACTAAGCAAAGAATTTCGCCACCAAGACACTAGTGCTTGCATAGTAGACAATCAGGTAGTCTTGGACATAGGAATCACAGTCCCTGTTTAGTTCACAATAAACTACTGGGCATCGTCATCCTATTGGTAAGACGGATAAATGTTGAGAGACAGGAGACCACATACTCCTTCAAATCAACTGAATCATGATGCTGAAACCATCATATTGCAGCATCCTGGATTAAGTCAACATTTTTTTTTAAAGGTTTATGTCCTCCACACCTCACAGGCTCCTTGGGTGTTAACAAGGTGCGGCGACATTTACCCCAGGGTGCTGCAGACTCATCATGACAGACCTTATCAGCAGTTCTCCAGTCCTAACCTCCTGTCATGTCCTCGGCAGAGCCATGTGCACTCAAAGACAGAGTCCAGACTCCCACCGACTCCCAAACCTCATCCCATTGTTCACGCTCATCCTGAATTAAAGGGCAACTCAGCTCGCAAGGAGATGGAAGCTTAGTGCATTTGAGTATTCAGTGTGAAAGATAGAAACAAAAGAAACTTGGGGGAGGTGTCAAGTAAGATTTTACATTAATATAGGGAGCTGGACACCCACAGAGGATGAAGGTGAACTGTGGTCTACACACACACACAGATTTCTATCACTATCTCTTAATTTGTCTCACTGCCTCATTTAATCAGTCACATGCTAATGGATCAAGTATCAATGGCAGTTGAAAAGAGGAGCAAACGTCCACTGACTAGCCAAAACTTTCAATATGACCTTGGCTGGAGATGATTTATATGCACTTCTGTTCCTTTTGACTGATACAAATATTCAATGCGAGGTTGCATGTCGGTCCTACCAATTTCATAGAAAAGGGGATGCTATGTCTTAAATGATCTGATATATAGCCTTGGGAATGTAAGACTTCCTGATCTTGATATCTTCCGATCCCACAATGATTAAACAACAGAATAAATTACTGCAGTTAGCACCTCGGGAAACAAAGGGCACTGAGTTTGAGTGGATTTATTTGCAATGACTCACCAACAGTAAGTGTAGTACTTCTCATAAATTATGCCACCGGTTATCACCCCGATAAAGCTACAAAAAAGAGGGATGTCTATTTCAAAAGTTAAAACATGTATTTAATAATACATGAAAACTCTGCCTTAATGGATCACAGCAGAGCAGTTCAAAGTTCCATTCAACGAGTATCAGGATGCATCGAGCCTCCAGGCCTACCTTGAGGAGACGACGTGCTGAGAGAAAATCAAACACTAAATCGCCACACTTGTACTCTCCTTGTCCACAGGCAATGTATTAGACACAAAGCAAGGGTGCACAGCTTAGATTGCCACACTGGATTCAGAAGCATGAAAACTGCACTGCAGAACCCATTTTAAGACCTAGAGGTAACCTCTGGAGAGTTAACTATGATGACACTTATCAGTGAAGTTGTACTTTCTAGCTTGATAATAAACAGCACAAACATGGACAGTAGTAATATGAAGCACTGGAAGAATAACATCTATACATATATATATGAAATGCACTGGTCTGAGATTCTGATCGATTAGATGCCATGCAATCACATGAACTAATAATGGTTTCACTATATATCAATATATATATATATATAATGCATTAATGTATTTAATCAAGCAAGCAGTTTGAACCTTTATAACAAATGTCAGTATAAGGGGGAGATGTTTCCTGAACAGTGACACTGGGACCTTTCTTTCTGCTGCACCATGAGCCGACAGCCCGTCTGACTCTTACCTTTCCAGGAGTTTTGGTCTTGTTGGTGTTGTTGTTATTATGGGAGGCCAGATTGACGTCTTCATGGACGCGGTCCAGCAGCCACAGGAGGAACTCCAGGGCGTCATGTTGGGAATTACCACGAAACTGTGATCCAAACTTGGACACTATAGTCTGGAAGGGGGAAAAGCACATGTGATGAAAGTGTCATTTTGCTACAGCTGCATAATTATTACAGTTTGGTTAATTAGATGTATTTCATAAGCAAACTGGTTCAGTGCTGTAACAGTGCTCATGTTAAGTATTGATGACGCAGCCACTTCACAGAGAAACATTCTGAAAACCATGAATATATCTATCCTATCCAGATATTCAGGCGTGGACCAAGAGAAATATTCATGGGGTGGCAAAAGGGTGGTAATATGTGTTTGTTTTTTAATTCTAATATCTTCATTTGGGGGAAATTAAGATACTAAAATTCAAAAACATGATTGTGGCACACAGTAAAGCATTGTATAGAAGTATTTAAGTAAAGGTGGCCTTATAAATCAATAAGTCAATTGCCACCCCATGCCACCCCTCTAGAGCCGCCCCTGCAGATAAATGTGACTTCACTGAAAACACAAACAGTGGTGGTTTAATTGGCTTTTATAATCTGACAGCTTGTTGGAATTAAAGTCGTAGTGGCTACCTGGAGAAGCCAAATCAAATTGCCTTGCTAAGATGTCCTTTCCAAAGAATTCTCTCACAAAGAAAATGTGAATCTCAAGCACTGTGTGTTTAGTGGTTTTGACAGCCCGGGTGTGTTCGTTGGGCAGCTCTACCCCTGCCTTCTCCACAGAACGCTGATCAGAGGAACCCTAAATTTGCAAATTTGCACAAACGCTCTTGACGCTTCCCTCCTCTCCACCTGGCCCACGCTTTGACAGAAACAGAGTCATTTCAGCTTTTGGATTTGCAAAATATGCCATTGCCTAAGACAGTTTCACCGTCTAAACATATAGTCTTGCCCCCTTTTCTTCTCAAGAAACTACATTTTTGATGTCTAAAAAGAAGTGTGAGTAACATTCTTCTTAAAAGTAGGTTGAAGACTACTTAAGCTCACACACAGTATAAATGTGACTTCTGATGTGAATGGCACAAAACTCAATTAGGCGGGAATTAGCTACATGAACCGCAGCTGGCAGCCTGGAGAAGCAAAGGCAGTGATGAGAGATTATAGCAGAGGGAACAGCAGACTGTAATCATTGCTTCATAATCCACTAATATGTGATATGCCTCTTATAGCTATTACACCATAATAACGTGATGTGGGATCTCTAATGACAAAGTTAGAGGCCTGTCACTGAAGAGCTGCTGGTTCAATTCTCAAAATATGGCCAGAGATACAGAATTAAAACAGTCTTTGCTCCTTTAACAGCCAGCATTTAAGTGTCCTGGAGCATGTAGCTGAACACTTGTCCAGCGCAGCAGCTCAGTGCCACACAATAGAAACAGACCAGATCAGAAAAACATATACTCAACATCCAAAACAGAGAGCTGTTCAGTTTGACTAGAGCATTAACTCATTGGAAGTAGAACCACAATTACATCTTCAAAGTATCTACTGAGAAGTGGTTACTGTGCAAGAGCAAAAAGTGCATAACATAAAAATTCATAAACAGAGAAAAAAAAAAGCTGGTGGAATCTTGGCAGAGCAAAAAGGCTGTCTAATCTTCTCTTCTGATCTTGTCTTGAAAGTGAATCTTCCTTTGCCTCATAGACCTCAAAGTCAAAAAGTGATGAGCGTTGTCATCCAACACTGGATCCTTACAATACTTTCAAGATCAGTTGGTCATAAAATATGAAAGGTTAACAAATATAGAGCCATTCTTTAAGCCAATTGCTTAGCCATGTTTTTATTATATCAAGAGCCTGTGAACAGCCAGAATATGTTACAAAAATAATATGATAATATTTTCACCTTTCTTTTTGCTCTGCTGTGAATTTCAGAATAAGATATAACATGTTGTGGATGTATTCTCACACACATATACAGTATCTGTAGTGCCGATGTAATATGGCTGAACTGTCAGACTTGACATTACAACCAATGTATCAAAATCAGACTGATTGGAGAAGATTCAGTGTAGTACAGCAGATCTTTTTTAAAATGCTCTTGAAACATTCAGGGTTGCTTTGCAGACATAACCATGAAAACCATGGACACGTACTAGCCTAAAGCTGTTGTGCAGCAAAGTAATAACAGTAATTACCATCAGCCTTTTGAAGGTGGCAATTGTCTCAGTAATATAATTGAGGTTGTGGAGAATGCAGTGTTCTTTTATTGCTCTCTGTGACATAATTGCCACTGGCCAGTTAGTAATGTGTGTAATCATCGAACAGAAAGATAAAGACAAAGTAGGAAAACACTTCCATTTATTCTCTACATCATTTAGCCAATGTTAAATATTTCATTCATTTAACATTACTTTTAGCTAACCATTTGAACTGTTTATCCATTAATGTTATCTATTGTATTTACCATTTGTTTGTTACTTTTAACTTGTGCTGTCAGTTAAACGCATTATTAACGCCGTAAATTTTTTTATCGCAAGATTAACGTTCTTTTTGGCCTAGCACACTTTGTAGTTTTTCACATGCTGTTGCAACAACTAGTAACGTTAGAAAAACTACAACACCACACCGGATCTAGCTAGACCGGAAACAAAACAACAGGCACGTTGCACACACTTGTTTAAGAGTAGTAGACGTTACGTTTTGATAATAAAAAACAACATTTGCACAAAGCAAGACGACCCACTTTTCCATGTTGATAAGAGCATTAAAATGAGAAAAAATAATGGGACAAAAAGAAATCAAGGGACATTTAGAATAGATAAAAATGAGTTAACTATGACATTAATGCGATTAATTGCGATTAAATATTTTTAATATATAACAATCGTTTGACAGCACTACTTTTAACTAGTTTAACTGTTTAATCTTCTCTGCTCACTTGCTAACTTGTTTTTACACACTTTCGGGGTAAATGCCCGCTGAAAGTAGTAGTAGAAACACAAAGTTGGCCCCCATTCATACATGTAGCACTGGTTAGGAATCACTGCTCCTCTGTACATCTTCTGTGAGCTGTCTGACACACTGCAACCAACAACATAGATAATGATTGAAGATCAACATAGAGGCGGCAAATATTGACACATACCTGTGAGCAAGACCGACTGTCGTCACCACACATTTAGCTTCCAAAACAGGCAAACAATCAATATACACTGTATGGAGGATGATATCCCTGTTCAGTCATCCAGCCTGCTCACCCTAAACCCCTTCTTTCTCAGGCCTCTCATGTTATGGAAACCGATAAATTGGCTGTTGAGTAACTGTTTGAGTTTCAGGCTTCATCCCTGTCCAGGCCCCTCTGTGCAAACACAACATCTAGCCAGGGGGGATGCAGAAAACGCACCAGAACTGTCCAGATCAAAAGCACACATCTGCTCCCAGGTTGAAGAAACTCAACCCATTCAACTGCAACGTCAGAGACACATCTGTAGAACTGGAAGCTCTTATATCATAGCGCTTGGAACTTTTATAAAAGCTGCCTCTCTTCTTCCACCTCTCTTGTCCTACAAGCCAGGTGGTACTGGAATGTGGCAGGGCGCCAGGTATTCGGCAGGACTTTGTTGTTTTGTTTTTTCTCCTGACTGGGACTCTGCAGCCAACTGACCTGTGAGGAGGCCACTGCTGATTCATTAACTTTCAAGAACTTTTTGAACAAAGGAGGATGATTCTACATTTATAGAGGAGATGTACATGAACAGCATTATTCATTTGAAATAAAAAATGAACCACAGTGTACATGCTGTTAAAAGGGTAATGGTCAAAACAAGAGATCTCTTTCAACTTTTTATTATTTTTCATCAAATTTCCTGTGATGTGAAGATGGGTACTATAGGGAGTCCTTTTAAGTCATTATAATCTGGCTGCTTTAGCTGAACCTTGCCACTGCCCTGCTGACACTTGACTTTCAGAGGCCCACAACAAACTGATATTCAACAATAGATTGAGCATTTAAATAAAGACCAGCACTTTTTGGAGGATTGTTTGTAAGTGGTTTGTGCTGTCTGGGGTTCCCGCAATGGGAGTTAATTTTGCCTCTCAGACACAAGCCTTGGAGCTATCTGATCATTTTATAATACCTCCCTCCAGGCAGCTGTGGTATTACTCACCAGGCAATTTCAGAAGACCTAAACTGCATGAACTCTGGACCTCCTACGGTCACAAACCACAGCCAACAGGCACAGCAGTGTGTGTGTTTGTGTGTGTGTGTGTGTGTGTGTGTGTGTGTGTGTGTGTGTGTGTGTGTGTGTGTGTGTGTGTGTGTGCTTTGACACAGGAAGTATCTAATCACACACAAGAGGGAGTGTTTAGTGTTTCTCGTTTAATCTATCTTTTAATCTTGGCAAAGATGTTTCCATGCTTTTCTCTCCAATTGTTGTCCTGAAAAAAATTGATATCTGAGTCCCGTGACATATGAGGGCAGTGAAAGTGTGGGACTAGTGAGTTACTGGCAGTAAGGATTCTGGTTGACTGGGAGAGTGTAGGTTTTTAGAGAGCACAGATGCGAGAGCAAAAGAGAAAGGTCAGAATCAATGTTAAAATTGATTCTGTCAGCGCTGCATTTCATACATGCAGCAGAAGACTGACAACACTTCTCGCTTTCAGGTAAACCTTTGGCTTCCAATACAGTATATTCAAGTGTGAGGAAAAGTGCCCATACAGTGGGGGTCAAGATATTCCACTTATTCCCTTTTTCTTACACAGTAATTAGCATTTCCAAGAATAGATCTATTGTGGAGTTTCTTTGTTCGCTGCTCTATATTATCTGCTTCTTGTCTTGAACTATGGCTCAGAGAAATCCAGAGCAAAGAGCTGCAAGAAGATAAAGTATGGTTGCACCCCCACCCCCATCTTCAGCGTGGGCAGAGCAGGAAAGCCTGAGGGTCGCCTGATAGGGCTCTGCCACAGCCCCTGATCCTCAGGGAAGCAAAATTCTTAAGTGGAAAGAGTTACAGTAAATAATCTGCGTCCTATAGCAAGGTACAGCAGCACATATAAATAAACACTGTGATGTACCCTTGAGCAATCACTTGTACTTCAGTCACCATGTTATCAGAGGAAACAAAACACATTGTAGTTAGTGCTGCAGCTAAGAAGTGATGATTAACTCACACCAACTGGGTGTGTTCATAAAATAACACCCGTGTGAACAATAAGGTTTTTTTAGTGTTGTTATATAGGGTCTTCTGGTGAAGCCCTGCACTTTGGGCACCTGCTGACCTCAGACTGCAGTGACACACACACAGCAGCCTCATTATCACCTGGCAGCAAAACACTGAAGTCACAGAAGGGCAAAGCACTGTAGGATTGTTAGTGTGTGTGGGAAGAGAATGGTGTCTATACTGCTGGCAACTACAGCAAATGATGTAACACTTGTGACACCCCCCTTTTATCTGACCATTACATTCAGGTGCACTTCACTGTGGTGTTTATGGCAGACTATGGCAGACTGTGTGCAGAACATGTGATTATGTTACTAACAGTAAGCTTACTCTGCAGGCACTAATAGTGTCGGACTGTGTGTTTTAGTTCATGACCACTGAAACTGTACCTGTTTAATGTTACCAATACTTTTCATCCCTGAACCTACTCTGTGCTGTTAAGTTCATTCATTAATGAGCTCCCATCCACCTGCAGACTGTGTTTTCTCAGCTGAGGTGTTGTACTTTGGGTACCTTGAAGTCCACAGACAGCTGTGGGGTGTACTCCAGAGTCCACAGAGCCCTGACAAGTGATGCCAACTGCTCCGTCACTTCTCCCTTGGCAAGCCGCGTCTCGTCACTTCTCACCACCCCGTTTATTCTGCTTTGACTCAGGTCCGGCTTGTATCGCTCCAACCCCAGGTACTCTGCGAGCAGGTCCGTGTTGCTCAAACACTGGACCACGGCGTTCATGAAACAGGTGTTCCCGTGGTTTTTCAGCCCCAGGACACCTGGGATTTTGTCTCCGTATTGGTACAGGAGTTTTTCTCGCCCGGTACACAGAGAAGAAGACGTGCTCGAAGTGTTTTTCACCACGCGTTCCCAAGCCACCTGCACATCCTCCTTGATGATCCCCGAGCCGGCGCTGAGGGTGCAAGGTGCGCCATTGCGAAACCCCCCATCGTCGTCCTCCGCGTCATGCGCGTCAGCGTCTCCAAAGTGAGTGAAAGTGCCCAAAGTTTTGATGATTCTGTTCATAAAACTCCCCACAGACTTCAAGGATTTCTTTCGGAAAAGCTTCCCAGGTTTCGGCTTCCTCTCTTTGCGCTTCTCTTCCTTCGATGTCGGCATTTCCTCCTTGACTCTGCTCTGTTTCTCCATGGCAGCGCCTCTACTCCCTCCACCGTCTATTCTGAGACTGATAATTGTGTAAATTCCGACGCCGGTGTGTCACTTCCTTGCCAGTGTCCCCTGTCCGGATAGCAGAGGGAAAAGCGCACAGAGGTGACACCATCTCGGAGCCAGGAGGCACAACAGCACACTGTTATTCCACCCGGTAAACCTTCCTCATCCATCCCAGCACTTACTGAAGGCGTTCATTATTAGTCAGACACCGCTGTCACAAGCAGCATCTCGTCATGCTCAGCAGCACAACCCGAGCCGCTCCGCCGTCCAGCTGCAGCACTGAGCGCTCCCCTCCCATCGCTCCCAACTTCGCCTGGAAAAGGCTTGTGATTGTGTGACTGCGCCCTCCCACTTTCCAACACATGGAGGAGATAACAGAGCAGTGTACGGCCTGCATTCATGTGGTCAGCGTTCAAAACCACTCTGACACAGAAATGTTTTTATTTACTTTGCATCATTGGTGGAAAGAAAATCCGTTACTTGAGTAAAAGTACCAATACCATAGTGTAAAATACTATAAGTGCTGGATTAAATAATTATTATTAGAATATACAGAAAGTTTCAAAAGTAAAAGTACTAATTGTGCAGAAAAATGCCCCCTGTGACCCATAATTATATAAAATATTATTAGATTGTTAATACTGGTGCATTAAAGCATAAGTAGCACATTTATTGCTGTTGCTGCTGGAGGTAGAACTACTTTGTATACAGTTAGTTCATTCTAGTGGTTCCCAACTTATGGGCCGGCCCCTCTAAAAGTTCACAAGATTAATCTGAGGAGTTGTAAGGTGATTAAGTGGGTTTGCATTCATTTCTGTCAATGTTTAGGTTGGTTTGGCCTAATCTGCATTCCTACTATCCTTCAAGTATTTACTGCCATTTTATTGCTGACTCAATATATGAATATATAGTTTTAATTAAATCATAGATCAATTTAAAAAAAAAAAATTGTTCAAATTAGTTGAGCTACTCATCAATCTTTCCACGTAGAATCTGGCAGAAGTACTCCCTGGGCTACAACTGTGGTTGAGAATCGCTAGTCTAATGTACTGATTTCTGCCAATTCAGAATAAAAATTACAGGAAGAGAGCCTATCTTGTGTGAAGTGTGTGTGTGTGTGTGTGTGTGTGTGTGTGTGTGTGTGTGTGTGTGTGTGTATGTATGTGACCCCAGCAGCCTACAGAGAAAATTCATTAGCTAAGCCTCAGAAGGCATTTATCACAGGTTACGGTGTCCCGGATTATCATTCCTAGGCCATGCGGTATATGGGAGCTGCACTGCTTATCTCCTTTGCTCACTACATAGATATGTTTAATCACACAGGGCTGTCTTACTAACACTAAAAACTGTAGATTTATTGCAGCAGTGAGACAAAGCATTAGGACTGACTCTTCCTCGCTGCTAATAGAAACCGAAGAGTGAGTCTGAGCCAAGTCTTTGCTCAGAAGGGAAGCCTCCCACTCTGCCTTCAGAGTGGTGCTGATGATGGTATGGAGTACCTGTTGTTGTTGGGAAGCAATAATCCTACCAGCAGGCTCAATTTCCAGAGAGAGGAAACTCAAGAATACTTTAAGCTGAGAGTTAGAAACAGCCATGAGTGCACACAGCAGAACGGCCTGTACTCAAATACTACAACTTGAATTTGAAGGCCTGCGTACAAACAAGAAAAGCCTCGCCAAAGGCCCCCTCTCCCAACATCATCTGCCTCCAGGATAAGGAGGCAAACAATAATCTTCTCTCTTACACAACATGCACCAAACAAGCCAACTGTTCATGTGAACCAACCAACACTGCAGACTCAAGTGAATCTAACTTCCATGAAATTGGGTTCACATTTCACCGTTTGTGCCGATGCAGACCAGCAAGTCTTACCTGCTTTAAGCCACTGTGATGATCTACAGTACCGGGTGAACTTATTAATAACCAACAGCCTGCATGTAGATACCTCCAGCAATGGACTCTAAAACAATGACCCCAAACTTAATGTAATACCCCACTTGGGCAGGAGATACTCCATAGTTCTACTTCCCTGACATTATGTTAGGTCGACTCTAAATTGATCATCCTCTCCTGCTGAAATCCACATTTTTAATGACTTCTCAGCCACGGAAAACCCAAGCCATATAAATCTTCCAATGGTATTTTTTTTTTTTTTTTTTTTAATGATGAATTTTTGGTTAATGACAGGAAAGGAAGGCGTGATGAAACTACCCAAAAGCAATGAGCTGGAGTATTTTCATCATTCTACTGAATGGGACTAGATGAGACATATACGTTTTTTAACTTCGGCAATAATGACCTAGGGACACCTCTGAGCTGCTGCCATCTTTCTTATGAGGTAGCACTGTGGATGTTTGTAGCAATAATCACCTCTGGCTTTGGCAGTTGTTTCCTTCTTATTTTGGCCTCCTCTTTCAGTTGTTATTTGATGTTATTTTTAGAGCAACTTTGCATTTTCCTTTCCAAAGTCAAGTATCTTATATTTCTCTTGCAGAGATGATTTCTCCCGTGGCTAACACCGACATCTAATTCTATATCACATGCGAGTTCTTCCCTCACTATAAAAATGGGCTGCACCATCCTAAACACATACATGTGTTTTTTCCTCTATGTGTGGCCTATATTTTACTGTCTTTGATGTGAGGGAACATCTTATACAAAGCACAACCCTTTGAACATTAATGTGGTACCAACTTAAAGTTATGATAATACAAACAAAGAAGACAGGGAGGTGTATTTCTTTCTTTTCTAATGCTGCAGCTCTCAGAATTATATCAGTGTTGCTGCATCGTAGCCTAATAGTTAAGTCATGTTCTGCCTATAAATGGAGAGGTGATTTGCCTGTGACGCTCTTCTCTGCAAAGAAGGAAATGTCAACCCCAAAGATGAAGTAGGCAACAGAGACCATCTGGCCGCCTGAGTCATATATGGCGCCTGCTCTGGGAACAAACACTCCTTTAGCTAAGAGAACAATGCACTGTGACTGTCACACCGCCCTGCCCGGACCATAGGAAAGAGCGTACAGTAAGCACACCACACACTAATTCGTAGGTTTTGAGGATCTAAACTTACATGTAATATAGCGCATTGAATGATGAGCACTTATCTGTTCCTGTCACTAATAATCACCTGCTTCTCATCTGCGGACAGTGCTGATCAGTGTTATCGAAGAGCAACCGAGGCCTCACAAAATGCCTACATAGACAGACAGAGTGACGAAACAGCATGCGCCAGGAGGAAATCAATACTGCTTTATGTATTTTTACAGTGCTGACTAAATGCGATGTTCTACAAGCGCTTTGCACGGTTTAACAAGACGATCGCCTTCATCAGAAGTAAATTGATTTGACCATTCCTGTGATGTGAATTAGTTTCAGCAGAAAAGAAACAGAAGGGGTTGAGTGGGCGAGTTCTGGCTTCCACCGGGTCCCAGATTATGCAGGCCCCATCTGAGCTGGCAATAACACATTCCTTGTCAATGCCTTTAATCTTAATGCATTTGGCAGAGGCCTTATGCTTTCTCATGGATTCCAGGAGCTTGTTGAGTTCTGGGCAGGATCTCCCACACGCTAAGAAACACACACATGCACCTGGATGGAGAATAGACAGCCATCGGCTTAACAGCACACATGAGGCAACTGACACAGCACTCCCTCCGGAGACTGTTGGAGCCCAGGCTACAGAGCTATTTCTATTCATGCCCTATTTCATCCACAACCAGTCCTACTTTCACTGTATCTAAACTGTTATCAGTTGAAACAGGAAACTAAACACACACATGAAGCAAGGCACCAAACCAGCTCACATTTACCACTGCAGCAGAAATACTTTATCTTATTCCTGTCTCCTGGGCTTGTACTCTAACCATGAATATTACATTCTTTTTGTTAAAATGCCCTGGTGGGTTTATCTCTCCTCCCCTCCCTCATTATTCTCTTGCTATCTCAGGTGGTGGCAACCGCTGTCAGTCCCAAGCTATAGGTTATGTGAACAGGAAGCTTCCTCCCATTCTCCCATTCCAACAGCAAACATGAATTTTCCATCATTCATGGTTTAAAAAAACTACAATAACGAGTGCTGGCTGTTTGTATGTGCATTTGAATAGATGGTAATTATGAACAAGGCCTAACATGAGTCAGCATCTGAAGGAGTGGAGGATGAACTACAAGAAGGCTGTCAAACTGAGAGGGTCACACTCTGCTGGTTAATGATGCTTCCATCTATGGGAAAGTCAAGTAAAGTTGTCAGAAGTACCACTGCAACACCACACAAAGACAACAACATTAATATTCTTAACCCTATTACTTTTATTATTTAGGAAAAGGTGCTTAATGAATACACACAAGTTGACAAACTATTTTAAATATAAGACAAAGTACTTCAGTAGGGACGCTACATGTTCAAATGACTTGTGTTATAGCTCCCTCTACTGGTAAGATTTAAATCTGATGTGTAACTTAATGAAAGGACTCAAAACAACAAATGAATATTCAACAGCGTTAACAGTGGGGACACTGATGATCACACAGATAACATAGCACCACTCACAGCAGCACCAGGATCTGTTACACATGACAGGCCACAACATTGTTCTGGCTGGTTGAGATGAATTTGTCTCCAAGTACCCGTGTGCAGGTGGAGGTTTCTGCTGAATCAGTATGTCTGCACACTCTGACCATGCACCTGCTAGTGCAGCTGAGCACGCGCTACAAAAATGCAATACAAATTGGAGGTCGCACATTGTAGCATCAACAAAATACAAACTACTATTCATCTAGTTTTGTGCTACTTACACAAGCCCCGCACTGTTACTGAAAAGGGGTAGAGGCTTTGTTGCAACTTCAAGCTTTGGTTTTACTATAAAACCATCACTGGGAGGAGATGGTGTGAAGAAACAGCAGCTAATAAATACCAGTATGCCAGCTGTTTCATCAATAATGATTATGATTATGTCACAGACCTACACAGCTTATAAGATAGAAGTTTACAACTAAACTTTTAAATACTTAGGTCACAAATGCAACATTTTCCAGGCAATTTCATTTTCAATCATTACCATAAATGCTGTTCATACTGTATAAGGCAGAAGATTTTGACAGTGTGACTCTTTACTGGCCGTTGTCATGGCAGACATTTTGATTTGTCATAGAAGAAAAGAGACCAGGAGTTGCTGATAATGGCTCTGTTCTGTTCAAGTGTCACAGTAAAATGCAATTCAGCCATCAATAGTTTTATCATTTATGCTTTTCCTACATGTTAAAATGCTTTCTGTGAAAAAGGCCTATTTGTTGAAATGTTGACCCTCTGATCACACCTCAGTCAGCTGTCAAAGCAGCATTTGCCACTTTCCATACAGAGCAGTAAAACAGCCATTTGTGCCACAATAATTCAGTATACCCTTTAAAATTGTGTCAAAGACACATACCATGATTCAATGAATTATACTTAATAAAGGTTATTTTTATGCTGATGTTATGGTTATAATCCTAAGAAGACCTCCTTCAAGATCCTAAATTGAGGTTTTCCAACAGGGCTGTGATCTTTTCAACACACAGTTAAATCAACACTGATGTGGTAACAGAACAAGACTGTAGGAGCCACTGAGCCGCACGACCAAAGCCTGGTTTTGAATACCATTAAAGATTTATTGGCTGATGATGATAGCTGCTATGATGCTCCCTATCCAACTTGGCTGAACATGAACTAATGTGCAAGGGAGGAAGGGAGGAAGGGAGGAAATCTAAGAATGCAGCCAATGAAAACTGTTCTCAGATAACTTTACAATAAAGTCACTCCACAAAGTACTGACTGTAATTTCACTTTGTTGCATAATATTTTATATCATTTACAAAACATCCAGCTTGCATGCACTAATCATATATGTACTTGGACTGAATCTCTATAAAAAGGTGCAAGACTTCACCTGATACATCATCCTAAGAATAATGAGCCTCTTGAAACCCAGGAGGCTCAACCATTGTGCCTGTTCAGCGAGTTAATTGTCAACAGTGTACACAGACAATAAAAGTAAACAATAAGTAATGTGCATTTGTGAGCTTAAAGCCCCACTGAATACAACATTTTATATTTACTCTCAGTTGGCAAGAAAAGCCATTAATCTCCACTGGCGATTTGCAGTGTTGTCCAGCCTCAGAGCTTTGGCCGTCAGGAAGATGAGCTGGTGATAAGACCTACTACTGTCCTATAACCTCCTGAATTTATATGAAATGATACACACATCCACACATGATCCCTCCTGTTGAGTCAATCAGATATATTCTCAGTGGCTGCAGGGCTGAGGCAGAACCAGTTATACAGTATCATGTCACATCAGCCTCTGAGGCAACTGTGCAGGGAAGCTGGGAAGACGCCGCAGTGTAGAACAGCAGCTGACTGACATAGACGCTACTTCATAACTTGTTAATGTAATACCAATGTGAGCAATCACTTCTGACTTACAAGAGTGTGCTTCACCTCAAACAGTGCTTTCATTTACAATATTAAACATCTTCCTTATGAAAAGCATGGGGTCACAAGGGACTAGAAGCAATTAATAGGACAAGAGCAAAAAAACACTATTGCAGCAATAAAACTGGATTTATCCAGAGATTTCTTCCTGTGAATAACAGGATAATTTACATTATTATAACTGTATTCAAATTATAGAGGGGGAAATCCCATTTTGGCTAACCTGATCATAACTAAAGGACTAAAGGACTAAAGGATAAAGGATTTAGTAACTGTAACTTAAGTAACCTTAGGTCATTTAACTTTTGTAAGAGGTTGCAGTAAAGCTACCTTAACATCAATTCTCAAGTCAACCCTTACTGTAATTGTATTTAAATTTAATTTACTTTTTAAGAGGGAAACATTCCTGATGCCAAAGAAGACTAAAAAATATTTCTAAATGGACTATTAGATATGTAAGTGTGTTTAAGAGAGTGTTTTGTAATCATTAAAATGCTCTAACCTTTCAGCCCCACAGGTCTGATGCACCTGACGTCCTTTCTTCCAGGTGATAGTCAGCACCCGTCTCTAGTAAGCCTCGTTTAATACACCTGTCACACATGGAAACGCGGTAGGTTATATTCCACTAAAATCTTTGCCATTAAGTACAAATGGGCCTTTTTCACGGAAGACATTTTGACATGTAAACAGTAGGAAAGGCGCAGGTGTAAATAATTAAAGTAAAAGTGAATTATCTTTAGCTGCTTCGGTTTTAGGCAACATGCTAGTTTGTGCCTCTCGTGTATTAGCATCATGCTAACTGTTATGGCTTCCTGGGACACTTAAATCGTTAATGTTATTAGTAACACATGTGCCTTTCCTACTGTAATATGTAATAATATATATATATAAGTGTCTTTGTACTGTTATTTACGAAGACAGCGTTTAAATTATTTTACATCACAACTGTCACACTCAGTAGGCTGAGTATAAGTTGACTGTCACATTTCATACTTACAATGAATTACCGACTCAAAGTCATAAACCAGTAACCTGTCCAAGGTGTACAGTAGCCCACTCTCACGCAATGCATGCTGGGATATACAGTAGGGTCCACGCTACAGCCCCATGAGACCTGGTTCAGGTACAGGACATGTAGGAACTGAAATGGATGATTCTGTCAATAGCTATGAATAGTTTTTATAGCCTAGTGTACTCTGTACTGAGCTGCAACAAGTAAAGGATTCATTGATTAATAACCAACTCTAATCATTGTTTTAAGAAAAAAAAAAAAAAAAATCCAAATTCTCTGATTTCAGCTTCTCAAAATGTGAATTATTTTCTGGTTTCTGTAGTCCTCTATTACAGAAAACGTGAATACATTTGAGGGCTCACCTTGAGCTTTGTATAATAAAATATAAATATGCATTAATCTGCTTGACTCATATGTATACATTTAAGTCTAAATAAATTGTTTGCAGGAAGGTGTTGGATTCCCCTCCCCTTTAAACAGTCCCAGAAGACGCCGTATGATTATTGCCAAGATGAGGGTGAGTTGACATTTTAGATTCAGAAGCAATGGAGAAAAGTTCCACATTGTCATAAGGATTTGGACAATAATGCATAAACAATCACAGTTTTCTGAAACTGGTGTGTCAACATCTTTCTGATTACTGATCAGTTGTCTGCACTCTCCCCATCACTGGCTAGTGGCCACCTCAGCTGTGTGTAACTTTGAATATCATTTACTATTTTGTTAAAAAAGTTAGTTCATGACTGATAAGAACTTGGAACTTGCAACTCACATAACCTGCCTTGAATGACGTTTGAATGAATGATGTTTTTACAAAGAATCTGACACATTTGGATTTTAATTGTTTGTCACAAGGACCTGGATGGCACAAAAGCTAAAGAACATGTCATCTTCATTCCTGGACAAAAAGACAAGAGAGTGACATTTCATATGATATGATAAAAGTCAGCTGTCATATATTTCAGTAGCAAACAGGCCTTCCATTTAAACCTTTGTGTTTTGCATAATGTGTCATGAATCAGTGCCCCTTGACACTTCAACAAAAGTGAGGTTCATGCTAGAGCAGGCGCTTTTCAGAGCCGCTCGGCTCAAAGGTCTTTATTGGGGTCACATTCAGCTTGGCAGACCACCCAGCTGTGTGGGTGGAAACACATTCATGACGATGTACCCAGAGCTTTGCAGTGATGACAAATGAGGAAAAAATAGTCATAATTCTCTCTTAGACATAAATGACCTGTGGCACCTTCACTGAAAGAGTCTTCAGTTGCACTCTGCAGCTGACCTCCTGGGTGGTGTCGTAGCAGGGTGAATTATACCAAACATGAAAGGCACCAAACTCCAATTCAAAATGCCTTTAAAGCTCCCTGCGTGTAACATTAATCTCTATGTAGGAAGCATGACCAAAAAACAGTCTCCCTTTATTGCACGTCGATTCAAAAGTAGACTTATTGTTCCCACATGTAGAACCATACCACTTCTCCCCTGCAGAGGGCAGTATTTAGAAGAGAATGGAGGTAGGATATTACTGCCCATGGAAATGTTACTGGAAACTCCGGAGTAGTATCCATGAGTGGAAACCACAGAGGTGGCCCACAATCATCATGTCGTAAGCTTTGGCACAGCTCATCCCCTAATTATGAATGACTTCAGGCAATTTGCTGTCATTTGTGCTGCTAGCATATCAGAGTCAGTCCAACACAGTGATTTGTCTTGATGTGCAGGATGTTTTATTAAGCCCAGTCTCATCCGTCTTTATTAATGAGTGAAAATACACCAACACGAGTGCAAGAAGTGTCTTAGTTTAGTGTGTTGTTGGGTAAGTTGAGTTTCATTTAAACCTGAAATTCTATGTGAATCAAACAAAATTTGTGTAGACAACGTAGTAATTTAATCAAAACCTTAAAACTCTTATTGGATCTACCTTTTTTCTCTGTCTGTGTGTGAACAATGAGAAAGACAGTGTGGGGTCTCTGCAAGCTTCAATAGCATTATTCACGCTTGAATTATCTAGGCTTTCCCCTCTCTAATACGAGTTCAAAACCAATTTGAGAATGCGTTAATTGAATATTAGTTTGTGAAAAACAGAGATCACCCCATTATTCCAGTGTTTAGGCCCCTCACTTTTCTCTGTGGCTCTACTGATCTGTGGCAGCCCGGCAGCACTTCAGTGTGGCCGCGGCCTTTAGATGTGCCTGATTGGCTCAGCCGGTCTTAGCGCAAGGCTAATTGGATAAGCTTCTAATCTTCACACCACCGCTACGCTGCTGGATCCTAGGTGAAGGATTACATCGATACCCCAGGATAAAACCGTTTGTTGCATTAATCAGTTAAACATCTATCATAGGTTTATATTGAGCTGTTGTTTTTTCTAACACACTTCAACAAACAGGTTGTGCCAAAAGCAGACAGCTTGTGGAGGTTTTATCTGTAGTGTCGCCAATTTGTAAAACCATCAAACGGGATGCAAACAGGACTTCTTAAAATCTGTATTTTCACTGTGTATTCTTTGGTTTTTTGAATTAAGGAATTTGATGTTATTGTGGCGGGGACATAAAGCAGATACTGTGTGTGTTGAAAACTCTGGTATGCGCTTATATCACCTCTGTTTACAAAGACTTGCACATGATGTAGTAACAGCACACAGCTTAGTTCTTACAAAACCAGAAAATAAAATTTTCACCTCATTGGCTGAGCTGCGCTCTTCGATGAACATTCACCAGCCGCCACTGACAAAACACAGAGATGTTTATGCTGTAAAATCCATGCATGTAAAGCACTGTGATCCATAACTGTGATTGCGTCGACACGGTGTTCTCACAGATGGTCTTGTTTATTATTATTACATGCTTGGTCCTCCTACTCTCTAAATATTCTATTTGTCAGAAGGTGTTTAAGTTTAAACACTATGTGCAGTAACGTATTGCTCAGTGCAGGTGATATTTAGAAATGTGATATATATTGTAAAATGTATACAAATTACATCCAAACGATAGGAAGCATACTGGCCAGGAATGCCATGCTAACAGCTTGTACCAGGATATCCTTGCGAGGCATTCCCAGTGTGGAAGGGTGGTGGCTCTTTTTCCATGTCACCCATTTGCTGGTGGTGTCCTTGTGAATGTGTGTGCAGAATGTGCAGTGAGGAAGTCCACCTGAAGCAAGTCCAAGTATATTTCACCAGATCTAAATCTGTTTGAGACTGAGTTAGAGCAGGGGCAGAGCGAGTCCTGGTGAAGACCAACCCAGGCAATAAATAGTCTACATGTCTTCCCAAAAACAATAAGACTAGGTGGCCCTAGTGATAGCTGGGTTATTGTCTGGTATGTGCGATTTCAAATGTTAGACTGGCAATATGTTAAACTTTTTCTCAAGGGTTTCTCAAGAGAGAGGGAGATCTGTCTTCAGGAGATCTATGCTGTACCCCTCAACCTCCACAACAGATCAGTGCATAACGCTGAGTTTCCACTGCAGGAGCTCTACGAGTTCCCCAGGAACTAGGAACCTGTGGAGGAACTCAACTGCAGGGACCAAGGTCTAAATGAAGTACCAGGGGCATTATTTTACTCCTGAAAAGTCCCTGCTGGGGGGGTAGCAATTCCCTAAAGGAACTTGGAGGGTGGGGCTTGCAGCGCTGAACATTTCTGATTGGTCGAGTACTTGCAGCATTTTGTTTCAGCCACCATTTTCTTTCTTTTTCTTTTCTTTTTGTTCAACAGAGTTAGAGAAACGAGCATACAACAGATGGCCTACGATTGCTCGTCTTCGCTCGTTGACATACAGTTGTGTGCAAACCTGACTTTGCGGTTCCTCGAAAAGTTCCTTGAAAAATAGTTCCTGGGACTAAAAGTACTTTGGGTGGAAGAATGGTTCAAGATTTTTCCCAATAATGTGTGAATTTTTTTAAACAAAATTTTGTACAGATATTCGTGGTCCCAAAAGGATGAATCACAAAGACACTGGGAATCTCTTGACTTTTCATCTAGCACCAGCATGAGGTTCACATTTGTGGTTTTGAGTGAAATGTCTTGACAACTATTGGATAGATTTCCAGAAAAACTTTTGTTGAGACATCCATTCCTCAAATTTTGTTTACTAAATATTATCACGCTAATATACATAGTGTAGTACTAAGTAGTTTTATGAACATATTTATATGAAAATGTTGAGTCAGCCTCCAGCAATGGTTGCTGCAGAATGTCTGAATATGTGACTGTGCCTGTCTTTGTTTGTGTGTTTAAAAACTGCAGGCATAAAAATTTATGTGTGGCACCATATTTCCATTTGTGTGTTTACGCTGTGTGCGCGCGGAGGTCTTTGAGGTATTTCAGGAACATAAACTTGTCATTAATGAACACCATTCGAGGCGATCGTTTTCGGAGCGCACCAGCAACTAGGTGCAGCAAGGCATTGCAAAAGAATGCAAGACGCCAAGTCCAAGTTAATCAGCTCCTCCACTGCTTTTCTTGGCGTTGGCCAGGCCCACCACAATGCCGCGGCCCCGGAGGACAGTGTAATTACAAGCTGCTATCTTGCTAAATAGGGCTCTCGCTCCTATGCAGAACAGTGATGACATGATTAGTGTGTTCCTGCTCATCTAGGCCTTGTGAAGGGGGATGATGACAGCTGTATGCGGTCGGGGAAACAGCGCTAGATTGTTCCTCAGTGCCTTTAAACATAACAACACCTACCACAGTGAATGCTTCTTGTGTGAGCCACAGAAATAAGTGCTAGCAGAAGAACAGCAATCTGTCTGCATTCCCTCATTATTAAGTTGAAATTGCGGTCTTTGGTATCAAAGGGTACATGACTTTTTCTGGGGAGGCAAATGAAGACAAATTGTGTTGTCCTGTGGAGTGATGAAGTGTGTGAGAGGAGGTTATCTTCACCACACGCTGTATAACCAGCATGTAATGTAACACGGATAGGATCATGTTTTCTTAGTTTACTTCTTTTCAGCAAGAAAAACAGGCTGCCCCAAGAAGTGAAACATCCAATAGAGCTCTAAATTAGATGAACAGCTACATACAAATTCCTTAAACAAACAAACCCGCAGGAATACTATAAATTAAGCCAAACAGATTGCCCTCGGTTTGATAACACAACCCTCAAAAAGTGAAGCTCTTATAATCTTCCTTTGCTCTATATTTTATATCCCCTGTCCGCTTAAAAAGGAGCTTTTATGGAAATTTTTACGAGGCTTTCCATTAAAAGAAGACCCCTGAGCTACAGTATCCTCATCCCCGACACCTGTAGAAATATTAAAGGAAACTTTGCACTCCATTAAACGTGAGGCCCAGTGAGGAAGTGGCGGGTTCTGTCATCAGAGTAAATCCTCGATGTGCAGGAAGGCCTTAACGCAGAAAAAGGCCTGACCTGGGATCTGCCTCAGTGTGAGTTACTGGCACTCTCCTCTGTCCTGCAGGTGCTGGTTTGTGTAGCAGGGAGCTGGTGGGAGCTGGCGGAGGTCACTGGGGGGGGGGGTTCTTGTGGGGAGTGAGTGATGTTCGATCTAAACAGCATGTACAAAGAAGTCAGAAGGAAATGGCTTTGGCCTGAGCAGTGAGGAAAGAGGCTGTTAACAGTGCGCTCCAATAATATTTCCATTAACGACTTCTCATTAAACTCCCTCTGTTTTCAGCTGCTAAAAGAGACTATAAGCTCCCTGCATTACACCGGCTCCATTTAAGCATTTTATTAAAATATAGGGGCTGGGGGTCTTTCATAATATATAACCGTCTCTATCACATAACTCATGCAATTTTTCTAACTCACGCTTTCCCGTTGAGTGGATGAAATGTCTTTAAAGTGGTTTTACAGTATCAGTGCAGTGTAGAGGTATTCCATCCCAGGCGAGATTTGCTCTTGTTATTTTTAAACTCCAGAGGTTACATCGATCCATAAATCACCTGGCCCACAGTGTCTAAACGTTCCGGCTCAGCCTGCCTGTCCGATGGTGGATTTATGATCCGCGGGTGTAGCAGCGGGCGCCAGCACGGTCTCCTCTGGGCTCACTGGCGCTCTCCTGTGCACTTGTGTACATATTTAGAAAAAGTGTGGGGTGGCTGAGTGCTGTTCTGTTGCAGGTCAGACCACCTGAGCTATCTTATCATGCTGCTGCACCTCTCTGGCTGCTTAATGAGATACAACACTAAAAGCTGAATCCTTTTTATAGGTGGGAAGAATCAACACTAAAAGACTTGGGTTTAGGACAACTAGAAGCACACAGATAATGTGCAGAGCTGAAACCTGAGGGAGGGCTGGGTGGTGGTGGAAGCTGTGCTGTAGAGTCTTTTTTCAGTTTCACATTTATCTTGTGAAACTATGTGCTTTCAACAAAGCTTGGCAAAGAGGTAAATAGCAATAAAAGGGGATTGGAGTGTACATGTTTCCCTTGCCAAGTGTTGGAAAAAAGATATTCCCTACATTGAGTGTCTGGCAACAGAGCTTTGGCTGGTGATGTCATCTCCAGGTCCACAGTTTCTGTTTGTTTCACCTCCATTATATGTGAAGGTTCAACAGACCTGAATCTCTCGTGGTTTCTACACTGAGACACATTTTCCCTTGTTTGGTGTCCAGTTCAGGCCTTACAAGGCTTTAAAGTTGATCTAGAAAAAAAAGAAAAAAGGGGCATACACAAATTTAGTGCTTCTCTGTGACATGTTTCTGTAATTCCATTAGCTGTAATGCCTCCTCTCTATTGCCATTCATGCCTCAGGAAATTTAAATCTGCCATGTTTATTAACCCAGCAGATAAAACGACATGCCTTTCTCTCCACTGGCAAATATGGCAGCTAGTAGCAGGTTGAATTAAGAGCAGAGACTTGGAGTGAGGTAAGAGGGCAAAGTTTAGCCATTCTATATGTTGGTCAGTCAGTCCACTTTTTCAGTCTAAACTAAAATAATCTCAACAGCTACTAGTTGTGTTGGTGAAATGTCTCGACAGCTATGGATTACCATTACATTTGTTGCAGACCTTCATGTTCTGTATGTATGTTCATGTATGTTCCTCCTCAGGATTAATTATAATGTAACTTTGGAGATCCCCCCACACACCAGAGAGGTTTTTACATATTTACTGTGAAAGATCTCCTTCATAGTGTGCGATGACAGACAAAAAAATGAATGAATTACATATCCAGCAAGTTTCGTGTATTCAAATGGTTTTCCATTCAGCTCTGGCATGAGATGAAACTAGTGGTCCCCTAAAGGCTGCGCTGATGCACAGTAGGGGTCAAAAATCATACCACAATAAAAAGAAAACAGTGGAGTCTAACACAATGATTGTATCTGGTTCTTCAATCAGTGAATGTGTAAGGATTTCAACAGCTAACTCTGCCATTGTGACATTTAATTCCTATGGTGGAAATACAGCACATTTACAACTGAGTCCTACCCACGGGTGTCAGGAAGAATTTGTCCTTTGCTGTGCTTGTCTAATGTGTGTGTAAGAGGATGTATGCTTCCTGTCAGTGAAGAGTAGTCTTCTTATTTCCTGTGTGGATGTTTTAAACTTTTCTACACAAACATTTTCATTGGCCCCAGAGCTGATTTTCACCACCAAAAGCTTGGACATGCCAGCCGATGTGTTTCCTCAGCTGGTGGATAACCTCCACTCCTCACGCATCTCTCCCTCTGCCATCCATTTCCTCTCCTCTGACTCCTACTGGCTGATCTTTCAGCACTTCAGTGGGCAGTCAGCATGACTTACTGTGGCACACAGCCTTTGCTATGAGCTAATGTCAAACTAAATCAAACATGATGGACAGGAAAGAAAAATACATTCTGAACTAATCAGTCTGTTTAGCTTCTTGAGACAACTGACCGTTCCACCGAACAGCGATTATCCAATAATTGCACCCTTAGCAACCGTAACTAGGCACAACAAGCCTGTCGAGCTCCACATGTTGTAGAGGTGTGCATGGGGATAAATTATGTTCTGAATTTAAAGAGTTTAAAGTGTGTTTTCTGCTCCTAGTGTTAAGTTGCAACAGTTAGCATGCCGACTAGCTTACCTATAGTTGTAACTACTTTCAAAGCAAAGAAGTATATCATTAAGTAACTACATTATTTTGAAGGATTGCAGGTTATGTTGGAAAATGCTTCGTTGCTGACTAACACATCCACTGTGAGACGTTCGCTGCCTCGCGGCATTCTCCAAACCTGGCAGTCAAAATGTTACTGCAAGTGGTGCTTCGCCTCAGGAAGAGGGCTTGGATAAGAGCTTAACTAACCCAGCTTGGACCTACGAGAGCGACGAGAGAGATGCGTTGCCTCCTACACCTGCCTCATAACAACTCCCAATTTAACCCCAGCATGTATCCAGCCATAAGTGCTTTCCAACTCATGAAGCTACGTTAGCTTAATTAGGGAAAATTGTTACTTCAGACATTGTTGTCATTGTAAACTGCACTGTGTGTTGTTTAGTGAAGGGTCAACTGTTCTTAAAGTCATAATTCAAAAATGTAGGAAATACACTTATCAATTTTCTTGCCATTGTGGTTTTACAGGGGGAGTTATATGGAGGACAGTAGCACAGTAACTTCCTTTATTTCCTACAGTATATATGAACACATTTTTAGTACTCGGTTCCTTTCTCTAGCATCAAAGCACACCTACACACCCACCTTAGTGACCTCACCCTGGCTTCAGCACAGAATCCAACTGCGTGGCAGGTTAGAGATGAGGAAGCCAAGGGTGAGAACAACGGTCTGAGTGTGAGACTTTGAAGTTCCTGTATGCTCTGGAAACAGGGCAAGGAATCACCTGCCATAAAGAAGTGTGCGTAAGCGCTGAGCTATTTGTTCTGGTGCCTGGGTGGTTATGGGTCCCCAGGGAGGGCTGGCCCGGGCCCCTGTGAGATCACATCAGTCTGGATTGGGCGGGAGTCCACCCGGAGGTGGAACTAATGGGCCCATGTGTTCGCAGACACTTCTAAGAGCCAGATGCTGGGAAGAGAGACGTCCATCGAGTTTTTCACAACACCTCCCCTGGAGAGAATAGAGGGGAACCCAGTCAAGCTTCACACGCATGCTGGACATTGAAATCAGTGTATACAGATACACATACCATGTTCATTTGGTTTTGTACAGTCAGGAATGCTTTCTATTACACACACACACACACCTTTAGTTTGTTGAGTCTACACGGAGACTGTTTCCACTCTCCTTTTTGTTGATGCAGAACGCAAGGTGAAATAGTCTAATAAAAGGGATTCAGGGCTCACATCTATCTATTCCATATGATCTGCCTGCCCCAGTAAAAGTCACGTACAGGCTCTGGTGCCTGCGGTTCGCCATGTTATTGATGCAGTCTTGACCTCTCCGATCTGACGTCTTATTTAAAGTGGTTAATGATTACCATCTTTCAATGTGTTTCAGCTGTCACACCGGTAATCCTCCCCTCGGCTCCATCGGAAGGATTGTTCCTGTGGATGTCAAGGTCTGGACGTTGTTTTGACTGCATCTCTTCGTCCAAGTTGACACAGCATGCTCTGTCATTAGCTCATCTGTCGAATCTAATGTAACATGAACAGCAAATCTGATACAGTGATGTGGATATGAAGCAAAGATTAGACTCAGGCTTATGAGAAATACCTTGTAGATCTCAAACAAAATGAGCAACACTTAACAGATCTGATGCTGTCAAATGCCTATAGACATAATAAAAGACATAAGGTTTAAAAAACAAGATATCGTGACAGGCCGGCCAGTAAAATCTTGATACACACTCTGCAGTCTTAAGCACTTATGTTGTGAGAAAACTCCATGTGAAATTGAAAGGGAATGTGTCTGTCACGAGTCCCCATGCTGTCCCATCCTGTCCAAACTGGAAGACTGGAGCAGACCAGAGAGCACAGATAATGTGACGCCACCCTCTTCCTTGCTTGTGTATAACATCCTCTAGTTCTGTCTGGATCAAAGCAGAGACAGATCGCACACATCCTCAGTAAACCCCACAGAGTGACTATCTGGGGGCTACCTCAGCGTCAAAGATTGTTAGCGAGAGCGATTCCTCTGCGCCTGAGAGAAAAGTTTGGCTGCTGAAAGTGGTGGAGGCGCTCTGCATGGAGGGAAAAACAAGCATTAGTGAAGGAAGAGGTCAGCAAGGCGTCTGTAATGATTGCTTAATGACAAAGACAGAGGTGAGAATGAGTCATAGAATGAGTGCAAGATGGGAAATATAACGGGACCCAATCCTGATCCGTTGTCTGAGAGACAAACTATACAACTTCCAGGGGTAGGTTAAGAAGCTTTTTTCATTTATACTCATTTGTAAAAATGAATTAAAATAATTATTAAGAGCTCCATTAATATTTGTTGTTTTGTGTGTGTCACTTCAGTTGATTTGATTTGATAAGTTCAGTAATCCATCCATGATACTAAAAAGTCAACTACCTATTACCTTCTGATGCTGGTAGGCGCACCAAGGGGGGCCAATCAAATCCTGGCTCCTGGTTCTGGCCCCGCCCCTGACAACTTCAAGCTCCTTGAGATTAGTTGAATACATGTTTGAGTGTCAGTGTGTTTAAATGAGGCATATTTTCCAACAGCATTACAGCACAGCAGCATACATCAGCATTATACACTGTACTATTGTCAAAAGCTTTTTTTATTTACAAAGAATTAATTGCAGGTAATTTGCAGTACACATGCGTCTAGACACTGCTTATTAAGGTGCTAAAAGATTCACACCTCCCCCTGTGAGATGTACATGTATTGAGATGCACTGACACACTCTGGTAATGGGTTCGTGTCATTAGAAGTACTCGGTTTATCAACGTTTCCCTCAACGGCATGAGGACAGCTTAGTTGTTAAATTGGTCTGGACGTGGAGTGCTTGTTTTCCCAAGCAAAACAAATTTGGGACCTGTTGATTTACAGGCATGGCAAGTTATCTTGTGCGTGCATGTACCAGCCTGTGTGGCGAGTCTCGCATTAGATGTGATCGCCCATTATGGTAGTATTTCACAGTCCTGGTGTCCTTTTTGGTAAAAAGCAAAAAGAAAAGACATCAATTTCCCATGCAGGTTCACAACATTCTGTCCTCTCTTTCATCATGGAAAAAGGAGCTGCTGTCCAGATGGAAGCAGACAGCACACATCACTCAGGAATCCTAAACATGATTGGATGAGCAGAGAATGTGAGTCAAGAGCACTGTTTTCCTTTCCTGGCCGCAGAGGACGAGTGTAATGCCAAGGGCTGGACGGTCTGTGCCTCTGGTCAGACACTCGCAGCAGGGATCACAGGGCTTTCCCTTCGATGGGCCTGCAGGAATTCTTTTATACTTATGTTGAAAGACCCTTTGTTGTACATTTAATGCTATGCACTGTACAGCAAGTGTACCTGCTCCTACATGAACTCTTAGCTGGAGATCGGGGAGCGGGTGGGCCTCACTGGACTGATGACACAAAAGCGTTGTGAAGTCCTCTAAGATAATATCTGAACAGGTACAGCTAGAAAATCACCATGCTACTTTAATTAATTTGAAGTATCTCAGTAGGAGGTTTAATGTTTGTTTAGCGTTGTTTATGGATGGCAATGTTGGTCTGTCGGTCCACCACTTTGTTCCAGACTGAAATCTATTGGATGATTTTCCATGAACATTACTTCACACAATCATGTTCCTCTCAGGATTAATTATACTTCCTTAACTCTCTATCTAGCGACATCATCATTTATTTACCAATACAGTTTTATTTAGCCATTACTCATACCTAAAACCTGAAATCCTCACCCTGCTTAACATCAGTGTGTAACATTTTTGCAGTCTCCACATTCTGATCTTAAATAGACCAATAGGTTATACAGTAGCACTGTAAAATAACAGTATAATACTGTACTTTATTTAACAGTATGCTTACCGTAGCATGACATACAGCAGCTACTGGATAATTGTTGCCAGTAAGTTACTGTTAATTTGAGTTGTACAGAGTAGACACACATCATTCAGCCTGGTGGTATACACTGTTATTTCCAACAAACATACCTGTCACAGCATGCGTTATGTATGTGCAGGAAAAGTCACTAAAAGATTTTAAGATTTAAGATTTTTCTTTTGCAGAACACAAATGTAATCAAAGTGCCTTTACAAAAAGTGACTCTGGGTTTACAGTACAAATTAATAGGTAACACAAAACCTCTGTGGATCCTTCTTTGAAAATAACCATCAAAATATTCAAATAACAGCATCTATAATAAAACAGCAAGAAACCCAAGGTCACCATCCTGAAGGTGAGTGTGTGTGTGTGTGTGTGTGTGTGTGTGTGTGTGTGTGTGTGTGTGTGTGTGTGTGTGTGTGTGTGTGTGTGTGTGTGTGTGATCGCGGTATGTGTAAATAGATTTCCTCCTGGCTGGCGGTCTGACCCAGGTCCTCCTCCTGTGACCCTGTGGATGATTGCTGTGACTGAGACGTGTTTGATCCCTGCGCTGATGCTGGGCTTTTGATGGCCACCCCACTTTGATGCCGCAACAAGATTGAATCCAACCACCCTCTGTGACACACATAGACACCGTCCAAATAGCACCATCAGACCTCGTATCTAAACAGGAGGTGCGATTTCCTTCTTCTCTCTTTGATCCTGAGCATTGATATTTGTCGTATTTCTGACATTCTGTTTCCACTGTTTAATACCCTGTGAGGAAGGATTTGGGCTACAACCCTCAAAGCTCAGAAATATAGTAATATTTTAATGCTATATTTTGTATTAATATAATATACCGAACCGGGCCACTGAGCCTGCTGAGCACTCAGCCTTAGTACAAGAGGTGCACGCTCCACCAGGTGAGCTTCCAGGGCGTCCCAGAAACATTATATTTTATTATCCTGCTATGTTTTTCTATTTCTGTTGACATAGTTTTGTCTTCCTCTGAGACGAATTGATACTGTGTTTTTTTTGGTTTTTTTTAACTCACAGGAAATACAAAAAAGGCATGGCCTTGCAGTAAAATGTAAGTTTTTTCCCGTAGCTCTCCACTGGTTTTTGTACATCACTTCTGCTTCCTGACCGTTTGATGTCTTCCTGTATTAATCCGAGCAAGTGAGGAACCTGATTTATTAGCAGCACAGGACCACTTTATTTTTACTCTGCTTTTATGTCAAGTTCAGTAGGATGGAACAACATACTGACTAATGGTGAAAGCAGACCCAAACCTCTAAAACATACTGCTTGTTGAAATAAAATTCAACAGTTTCTGGTCATATACTCACTCAATGATTTAGTGTTATAGCAAAACGTTTAGAGAACATTTTATAACGCTTTCTGGCAGAGAGTTAGATGAGAAGATTGACCTCGCTCTGAAGCTATGGCCAGCAGCCAGTTAGCTTAGCTTAGCACAAAGACTGGAAACAAGGCAAAACAGCTAGCCTGACTCTTTACAAAGGTAACAAAATCAGCCTACCAGCACCTCTCATCTAGGATAAGTCTTGGTAAGAAAGCGTGTTTCCTAAGATTTTTACATTTTATGATATTTTGGGGGAAAAAAAATGTGTTCATTGGATCATGTGGCTGTTTATTGTTTATATCCTGGAAAAGTATGAATATTGATCATAGTTTCCTGATGTTGTGACCAGTAACTCTAGAAACTGTTGCACATCAGGTTGTAAAGGGGAAATCTTTTTGAGATTGTCATTTAGAAGAGATTAAGTTTAACATCTACGTCACAGCCACTTTGGAAACTAAAGCGAGACGTCCTGAGAGTTACAGGCCTACCGTGTCAACAAGAACGTTTTCTTTCTAAAACTCAACATAGGTCAGCGCTCTGTTTTCCAACATTTCTGTCTTACACTCGACCCAGAACTGTCTGGTAGCTTCTCAGAGCTCCATGGATGGGCAAGAGCAAAGAGGGAAAAATGGCGTTAGAAAAAGTGATTGTGAAATGTGGGAGCGAGGAGTGTTTGGCAGGGCTCATCTTGTTTGCTCAGTAAACCCCCAGCCCTGTGTTTTTTCGCTGAGGGAAATGCCCGCATTGTTGGGCCTGGAGACCGTGGTTACGGGCCAGCCCGGGGCCCAGCCAGGCAGGTTGGGACAAACAACAAGATGAAGGTCAGCTAATATAGCAGTTAATTCCACTTCCTGGTCCCCATGACACCCAGGCAGGGTTTATTTGAAGATCCCAGACCCTGAAGTCATTCTGCACTTTGTTTAGTCCATGAGTATTTTTGGTCCGAGCCAACACTTTCAGATATGAATGTATTCGAATGAAAAGCAAGGGAGGGTGGAGGAGGGAAAGGAAAGGGGCATTCAGCCAAGCAGTGAGGAGGAAAGTTCCAGATTTCCACATATCTGTCTCTTTTCCATATTTCGTCTAATTTCTTCTATTTCTTCTATGTTACATCTAAGTAGAATAATAATTTTCAGATCCTTGAGCATTAATTATAGGATTTAACATAAACACAAATCAAAGCTTAAATTAACTTAGTGATATTATATCCTGGCCTGTACAGTGGCGATATAGTGGTGCTGGTCAATACTGATATTGATATTTGGGAATCAGAATCAGACAATGTATCAACCCGGTTTTTAAAAACATAAAGACCTAATATAAACAAACTGTCTTAAGACGGATCCCTCGGAGGTGAAATTGCAAACAGTAAAACTGGATTACATGCTACATTGTTTCCTGTGAATCTGTTTGTCTGTGCAAAGTAGACAATTTGAATCCAGCGATTGAGTGGCAGACTCCGATGTGAACACACAAAATCGTAAGGATTGTAACTTTAAAGTCACATTTAAACAGCTTATAGAATATAAAATTGTTTGTTAAATTTTGTTTGCTGTGCTCATGTCCCCGTTAAAGCCTGGAGGATGAAAACAGGGCGCTACTGTGAGGCAGCTGAAGGACTCTCCTCACGGCGCAGACTCCAATGAGATCCATCCACTCCGGCATCCCCTGGACCCGGCAGTGTGCGTGAATAGACCTTAAAAAGAGCTAGTTTATGAGCTGATTGTCTAACTGATCATTTAACTCGGACCTTGAGAATGCAGTGGGGGGAGTGGGGTGGGTGGAAATATAGTACACACCATCCAAAAGCCAAGTGGCTTAATCCTGTATGGAAATGGTAATGAGAAAAAAGAGGACTAACTCTGTCTGTGTGCACTCTCACTATCCAGGATGGGATCGAGGCCTCTCTAGTGGGGCTTCTCCAGGATGCATAAGAAGAGCCTTTGTGCTCCTATCTAGTAAGCCAGAAATACAGCTTTTGAACCATGTGCATTGCAAGAAAGAGGGAAATGGAGAGTTTGGGAGAGAGTGAATGAGTGAGTGAAGAGGCGGGGGTTGGGAGGGCTCTGAAGGTGTTAGT